ATTAGCAACTGAGTGACCTATATCTGGAGCACGTGATCGATGAATATTTCTTTTTCCTTATTCATTCACATTTCAAACTGCAGATGCTTTATCCCCTCTCACTGTCCTAATGCCCTCACTGATATTTTGTTGTGTTACCGAGTCTTAGAACAGCACAGAAAGCTCAGACACTTAAGGACATCATCTCCAGCAAATCAGGACCTGTCCAAGTCTTGCATTCTTTCTCACCTAGCTGAGAAGCCATCATCGCAAATACCAGAGGCTGGGAATCCTGAGAAAAATGAACAGCAAATCAAAGGCCATTTTCTGAGTTGATTTCTATAGGTGGAGTTAGCCTGTTTGCACTAAACCACTTGGCTGGGGTGTGCATGTAGCACTTCTAACTTGAAAATAAACCTTTTCCCTGACATCAGTTATATTCCAGTATCTACAAGATAAGAGGGTTTTGTTGCTGCTCGTACAAAACAAATAATGCCAGCTCTGATCAGAAGTCTCTACTCAGACAGCCCTGGCTTCTTGAGCAGGAACTGTATCCTACATAACTGCTGAGCAATGAAAATGACTGAATTCCCTTCCTTACTGGAATGCTAAAGAATCTCCCACACAGCTTTTAATTCCTCACTCATTTTCTTGTGGTATCTGACTGCAACAAAAGCTCTAAAACAAAACTGGATTTATTGCTGCCCTACTAATCCCCAATCCAGTGACTTGGGGACAGCAAACCATAAAGATTGTTCCATCAAGTGACAAAGAATAGTCACACTACACCATGGGCTTAAGTGCATTATTATGTGTTATTGCTCAAATTCAAACCCAGACAAATGTAACAAGATATCAGAACCAAATGCTCCTCTAAATACTTAAGTATTAGTATCAGCTACACATCAATATACAAGTCATTAGGAAGAATATTCTACTCCAAGAAATATGGAACACCACAATTAAAAAAAAAAAAAGAAACAGTAAGTCGCACATGTTGCTGTTTTGGAGAAATGTTTCTCTTTTGTCTCAAATAAAAAGGAAGCATGAGAAAGTTTCCTCCAACTGGAATGATCGGGAAGAACAAGACAACATAAAAAAGAGTTTAGAAAACTCTGAGCCAGAAATTACTTGTCTACAACAGAGTTTCACATTAGGCAGCCTCTCATCATCACAGGCAGGCAGACAGTGCTGAGACATGGGGGCTCAGAACTGAATTCCACAGGCAGCGAATTTGTCTCCAGCAGGTAAAAAAGTAATCTCTGATTTTCTTCTGGGTTTGTCAACAATCACATATTTATCTCATCCGTCTAAACAAACAGGGGTCTGTGTATTAACAAATAAATACACCTAGCAATTCCAAATCCCCCCTCTCCTTTGTTCAGCACCACTGTTGGCTGCTACAGCTTTTGAATTTCACCCTACAGAACCAAGTTAATCTCCCCATTGCATGCAAAGCCATCTGCTTTAAAAAACAAACAAACAAAAAACCCTACACCAAATCCAAATAAAGTCCTTTTCCCCTGAATTCTGGAAGGAGAGGCAGATTTGGCAGTGTCTATGACAACAGGACAATGTTTTTCTTGTTCATGCTGGGATTACAAAAGGTACAGAGACCACCCACACTTGAAAAAATCACCTATTTTAAAACATGGTTCAAATCTAATTTAAAGTCTCGACATGGTAAAAAACCTCAGGCATGAAGATGCTGTATGTCACCCTGTGTAATGTGACAGTTGCCACTGACACAGCTGCTTTTTCTGCAGGAGCATGTTGTACATTCAGTGCATCTCAGACCTGCCACAGAGCTGATACAGATAACTATCACTTATTCAATTAGTGGTCTCTGCTCTATTTATAGAGCAATATCTGCATTAGAAAGAGAATAACAATGCCCCACATCGGGATAGGCCAAGTCTCATGAACATTAAAGAACCTAACTCTCAGCTCCTGTAAAGAATGCACCTCAGTACAGATAAAGAAAAGGGAACATGGAAAACAAAACCAGATTGGTGTGGATCAGAGCCAGGACCATAATTCAGTGAATTCTGTGCTCAAGCCTGCTGACCTCAATGATGAATATCTGAAGCTCCCAGCAGCTTCTCTTCAATTGCTCCTGCACACCAGAGCCCATATTTCCAAACTGCCTCATGGAAAATGCAAAAAAAAAAATCACCATGAATAAGGAAGAACCAAGGCAGGTTCTCCACTCCAGCAATCACCACCCTAACCAGAGAGGCCTGTCTCTCTCGCTCTCCAAATTTTTTATTTTCTTCTTTAATTTGGAAGAATGCCTGTTTCTGCGAGATGAGTCAGAATAACTCCATGAACTGCATCCCTCTTTTATGTGTTCTCTGCCTTATTAGAGAATTTACTCATTTCTCTTAGCAATGGCAAGTTTCCTGTCATTTTTAGGGGAAAAGAAAGAGATGGAAAAAAAGCCCTTCTCAGTCATGATGTGCCACTACCTTCTCAGCACAGAGTGAGCACCCCAGACACTCCACACACACAGCTGTGCTGACTTCAGCACCTCTCCCCGGGCAGCACAGCAATCCCACTGGCAGGACTCACTTAATCCGGGAGGGAATTGATCTGTAAAACGCTGTAATGAGCTTCGACAGAACAGGGCCATCGATAGGGGAACTCACGTCAAATGGGAACTGCAGCCCCGCTCTGTGCCCTCCCAGGCAGGTAGGATAAGCCTCCTGTGCTGGGGCAGCTCTGGGGTCACCATCCCTGCACAAAGGCAGCCTGGGGCAGGCTCCTGCCTGCTGGCAGAAGGCAGAGCTGCCTGGCAGCCCCAGTGCAGGAGCTGCAGCTGCAGGAGTGGCTGCAAGAGTGGCCTCTTGCCCTGAGGGGTGGCTCTGCTGCCAGTCTTCTGCAGCCATTTACCCTGCCTACCTGGCAGCTGTGAGCCATCCGATGATAATTTATCAGAAAGACATTACTATCCATTATGTATACATCTGGAGTCCCGTTCTCCTTCTAAATAATGTCCAAAATGTCAATAAAGCAAAACTTGCTTATATGCTTTGCTGAAATGCCACAGAAAAAAACAAATTAGCTTAGCAGCTTCTTCAGAGCAATAAAGGTTTCAGAGCAGCAGTTAGCTTATCTTTTTCAAAGTCTGCCATTGGCTTTTTCAGTTTTTATAAAAGAAAAAATTAATCAAGATCATTTAGAAATCCAGCCAACAAGAGAAATAAACATTTAACTATATTTAAGCCTAAAATAAACAAATGCTGACAGCCAACTCAAACAATAATTTTTAACATTCATAAATTGAGAGTGAACATGCAAGCTGTGGACTAGAAGACACTTTCTGGACTCTCATACCTCAGAACCTATGATGCCAAATAAGAAAATAAAATAAAGCAGCAAGAGCTGGGCACGTGGGCCTGCAACAACAGCAAACCAACAGAACAGGCATCAAAATGTTAGATACCAACAAAGACCTTGGCCAGGGCTGAAGGAGATAAGGTAACAGAGCTTCTTGAAAAGAAATCAATACCTGAAACCAAAGAGGATCATTGAATTACAAAAACTGTCCATTTTTTTTTTTTTGCCACTCAATTTTTAATGAGCAAAATGTTCACTGCCCAAGTCAGAAATGCTGCCAATGCCTTTTAAGTGGTGTTTGCTGGTGATTAATGGTATATTCTACTAAAAGTATGATAAGAAGCAAACTAATGAAAAATCATCAGTGACTGGAAATGAAAACAACAAGGATCAAGATGTTCATCAAATGCCCTTCTTCAAAATGCTACAGTTTTAATATTTGGATAATAATAAAAACCACAAACCCACAAATCTACACAAAAAAGACCTGAAGAGTAAATCAAGGCATTTTAAGAGTGCATAGAGAAAAATTTAAGACTCTGTTCATTTTCTATCAAATCTAGTTACTTGTCCTACATCTTAAAGAAGTTGCAAGCAAATACTGCAATTTAATATCTTTGCTTGTATCTCCTAATTAACAAATATACTTCGGCAGCTTTGGAAATTGGCTTCAATTCAGGAAAATATTAACCATCTGCCTAAAACTAAGCACATTTTATACCTTCCTGAAGTCAACTGGAAACAGAAGCATGCCTATATGCTAAAAACGAAACATATGTTCCAGTGATATCCTGAAATGGAGCCTTGGTGTTAAAAGGTCTTAATTCATGCTTGAAATCATCTTGAAATTCTTAGGTGAAAGGCAATATGGCAAGAAAAATACTGGGTTTATCCTCATTTGAGCAACTAAACTTCAGACTATACACATATTTTTTAAACCAGATGACAGTACAGACACCTCATCATTCGCTCTGGTTCTGCAAAGGGGTACCCCCAAATATTTGACTGCAAAACTAAGGCCTGAAGCTGAAATACGCACATTGTTTCGTGGTCTTGGATAAGCATCTGCAGAGGGGCTGCAAAAACTAACGAGCTCAGCATCCCCATCACGCATTTGACAGGCTCAAGATGCTCGCACACGTATCAGCTGGTTTATTTTTAAAGCGACACAGAAATATACACAGAAATAAATACCCGTCTATGATACATGCATATATATTTATATTCGACGGACGCTCCGCTATCTCCCCGTGGCCATTCCTGCCAGCCAGCAGGAATCCCTGGAGCCCTGCTAGCCAAGGCCCGAGGTGCGGGTCAGTGCGCTCACAGCCGCGGGCTCCAAACACGGACCGCGCTCCAGCCAAGCCGCAGCCGCTCCTTTTGGGGCCCGGCACCGCACGGGGCTCCCCGCGGGAGGACAGCATCCATCCCGCAGGGGAGGAAGGGGATGCCGGGGAGGGGTCGGTACCTGATGGGACGAAGGGGTCGGTACGGATGAAGGGGAGGGTTCGGTACCTGATGAAGGGGAGGGTTGGTACCTGATGAAGGGGAGGGTTCGGTACCTGATGCGGGGGATATTTCGGTACCTGACGCGAGGGATATTTCGGTACCGGATGCAGGGGATGTTTCGGTACATGATGCGGGGAAGGGTTCGGTACCTGATGCGGGGAAGGGTTCGGTACCTGATGCGGGGAAGGGTTCGGTACCTGATGCCGCGGCGGGGGCGCCCCCGGGCAGCGCCGCTCGCTGCTGCTGCGGGCGGGTGGCGGCGGCGGCGGGGGGCGGCCGCCCCATCATCAGCACCAGCAGCGCGGGCAGCAGCGCGGCCGCCAGCCCCGGGAGCAGCGCGGAGAGGCGCCCGCAGGTGCCCGGCATGGCGAGCAGCCCGGGGGCAGCGGAGGCATATTGCGGGAGGCCGGCGCAGCGCTCCGCAACCGCGGCCCCGGCGGCGGCTCTGCGGCGGCTCCGCTCGCCCGCCCGCCCACGGACGTGCCGGGGCGGGGCCGGGCCGGGGCGGGGCCGGGCGGGGCGGACCGGGCTGGGGCTGAGCGGGGCCACCTCCCACAGGTGCCGGGGCCGCCTCCCACAGGGGCCCGCATCGCCCCCCGCACTTGTTGCCGGTGCTGGAGGAGCGCCGCCGTCACAGGCCGCGCTGCCCCGGGCAGCCCCAGCATCGGTGAACCGCAGAGAACCGCAGGATCCCCCGGGTTGGGAAAGGCCTTGGAGGTCCCCGAGTCCGGCCGCTGGCCCAGCAGCACCGTGTCAAGCAGACCGCGGCACCGAGTGCCGCCTCCAGGCTTTCCTCACACACCTGCGGGGATGGTGACTCCGCCGCCCCTCCGGGCAGCCCGTTCCGATAAGCCTTTCTTGGAGAAACTCTGCCTAATATCCAGCCTAAAGCTCCCCTGGCACAGCTGAAGGCTGTGTCCTCTCGTCCTGTCACTGACTGCTTGGGAGCAGAGCCCGTCTGGCTGCTCCTTCCTTTCAGGGAGCTGGAGAGAGCGGCAAGGTCTCCCCTGGGCCCCTTTATTCTGGAGAAACTCCAGAATAAACACGCCCGGCTCCCTCAGCTGCTCCTCACTCATTTGTGCTCCAGACCCTTCTCCCAGCCTTGCTGCCCTTCTCTAGCCTCACAAACACGTGTACACGCATTCCAAATTTACTTATGCGCATCCTTAATTCTAAAAAATACGTTCAGGAGGGCTAAATTTTTTTTTCCTCTCTGTACTGCTGATCAGTGCAATGTTGAATATCAGGAACTGCTGATAGGAATAAACATGCACATGAGGCAGAGAGATGCCTGTGTGTGGGATCAAGGCTTTAGGAGATGTAATGTCATTTTAAAGGCTGTCACAGTGACTGGAGCCTGATGAGGAGGAACTGAGGGAGCTGGGTGCATCCACACAGCCCAGGGCAGGGTAATGGAAAAACCACTGCAGTTGTTCATGTCAGATAAGGCTGGGAAAAAACCCAAAATCTGAGGAAAGGCAGCACATCCAGGCACACCAAACTGCCCCAGAGCAGGCAGCCACCTGTATGCCTGAGGGCTGAGCCCACGCTGGGGTCACCCCACGGGAATCTCACACTGGTGGGGATGAGCATGCCCGTGCCCGTGATTTCAGAGAGATCAACATCCCATTCTCTGTAAGCACCCTCAGAATGGGCTAATACTAAATCTTAGTGTATGTTTAAATAGTGAATAGAAACTTCTTTGGAAAGTTTGAAATAACTTGAATTGACAAACAAAGATCAGTCAAATAAAAGGTTTATTTTATAAACCGATACATATTTACTGTAACACACTAGGCCAAACCCTGTAATTTTCAGATTGCAGAAAATTTCTTCATTGAAAGAGAAACAGGCAGGGTATAAATTTGCCCATACTGAAAGGAAGAACTGACAGGTTACTGTGCATATTTTCAACATATGTCTTATAAAATGTGAAGAAAATATATTTTTCCTTATGCCTCCATGTCATTCTATACAGTACAATGTAATTATTTCACTGCCATTTACAATGACTTGAAATAGATTTGGGATTGACATAGAAAATACAGTTTGCTTTTGTTGCAGTTGCTGATATCCGCTGGCACCATTTTGGACCAGTCACTGCTCACAGGGTAATGCTGCAGTCGGAAATGCACATCCTCCTCAGCAGGTACTCCTCAATACTATTCTTTATTGTCAATCTGTCAAGCACTTTTTCCTTCATCAACACAAAAAAAAAAACTTTGCCATGAAAACCTGATTTTGTTTTATAGGACCTTTCTTGAAAGGAAGCAAAGGACCAAAAAAAACAGGCAAATAAAACAATCATTTGATTGTATTTGATGTGAAACTCCTCCAGGAGCTCATAAAGAAAAAGAACAATCTCTTTTTAGTTTAGCAGACATGCTCAGTGCCTATTTGTTTAATTAACATCCTCTCACCCAGCTTCCTATTTCAACCTTTTATGTGGGCACTGCAAAGGAAAAGTGGCTGTTCCTGCACAGCCACTCTTAGAGCTCAATTAATTTTGGATTCTCTGCAACTGTGTGTGGTCCCAGGTGGAAGAAAGGACCTACAGAAAACTTGCTGCTGCTGTGAGCTTCCTTTGCTCAGGAATTTGTCTGGTGACAGGGTGTGGCATTAAAAAAGGGCAGATCACAAATTCATTTCCAAACGTTTGCAGACATGAGCTTTTAACAAGATATAAATTATTTGCAGAGAAATAGTTGAACCAGCTTGGCAGCTGGAACATTTTAAATTGATGCTGATGATATGAATAAGAACAATTATTCGTTTATAAAGTTCTGGGGAAAAATATCTGTTAAATGTGTGATAAAAGCTCTCTTAAAAGCGCCTCCGAATGGGGAATAACGTGGAAATTAATTGTCTGTACTACATTTAGAAAAATTGCTAAGAAAAATTAGGGTACACAATACCATTCATTTCAGAAAAAATATAATCACAATCAGGATGTTCTTCTTAAAAAAATTTTCTCTGAGGAAATGAAGGTTTGTAGTAATTTATTTCAACTACCTGAGTATTTTCTTGAGGGATTGTGTCCAGCAGTAACTTCTGCAGTCTTTAAAAGTTGCTACACTCTTTTCAAACTCTGAACAAATTGCAACCATTGCCATCAGCCACTGAACTTGGCATCTGCTGTTCTGCCAGGGCTGAAAATATGTTTTCAAATGACACAGAAATGTCAGTCTGTGTGGACTCTGCAAAACTCTCAAAATCAATACCACACAGGCCTGGTCTGCATGTAAAATCACAAACATTACTAATAGGGTGTGTTACTGTCAGTATTCTTCTGCTTCTCACATTTGCAAGGTGTGTGTTCTGCTTTTGTGTCTTGTGAACTTAGTCTTAGCATGTCCTGTGTGTTTGTCAAGGGGGGTAATAATTCAGCACCTGACTTCAGAAGGTTTATCAGGAAGATGCAGTAGAACAGATTGATTGTGAAATATCTTGTGAGAAGATGGGCAGCTGACAGCACTAACCTTAATTCTTTATGTAGATCAGACATTATATTGAGGAGAAGTTCCTGTAAATATTTTTTTCAAAGTATTTCCAGTTGTTCACAATATTCTTTAGAATGCCGGAACTGATGATTTAAAAATATGAATGTACAGATACGCAATAAATGTATTAGCAATTCATTTACAAACTAACTAATGATCAGAGCACACTGTAAAGTGTCATTCAGGTGTGCAAAAACTTGAAGTACAGCAGCACAGCTCCAGTGGAGTGCTGTAAATGCAAATTACCTCGAGGCATGGGCCACCACTTTACCTGAGGTGGCTACACTGTAAAATGGAAATTTGAAAAACCACTCTCTTGCCATGTTCCTGTAATGAGACAGCTGTTGTCACTAATTTCTCAATAATAATATATTAATTTGAAACTGCTAGGCAGATGCAGTGATCCAACTGCAGGTATGTATTTAACAGGAGCTAGGCCTGTGCTGGCTGCAGGGTGTATTGGACAAATGTTAAAAACCATGTTTGGGCTGCTGCTGTCATGTTTCTTACATCAGATGCAGCTACTGGGACATCGGTGGAAGTTATTAATTAAACCACAAATATCAGATCTTCACCTTTTCTGTCTCCTTTATTACTATTCTCTTTAGGTTAACAAATTCTCTACTAGCAAGCCAGGGAACTCACCAGTTTGGAGTTTTTCTGAAGTGTTCACAAACACTAACATTTGCTTCTCACTGTTTGTTTTATTAATAAAACATACTCGTGTTTGCCTTTATTGTGACACAAAATATTGCTGTCACCCACTCACAGAGGTGAGTACGACTGGTAATCAGAAAAAATGTAACACTGAGGCAAAAGCAGACTAATAATACAACAAGAAAAGAAACTCCAGCTCTCTGAAAATTTTCCTAACCTGAGGACAAGATGTCACCATTTTCTACAGCAACGTGGCACCTATAAAGCCTAAAATATTTATTTCTGGTATGTAGAAATTTCTGTTGGGAATCAGTTTTATGGTGATAGAATATAGTCTGTGAGTAGATAATTTTTCTTGCTTGTGATTACAAAATTTTTTGACTCAAGGTGCCACTTGAGGTGCGAACATAAAAGTTGTGTAAATGTTAGCACATAATTGTGGAGTACAAACATATACTATAAAAATACACCTAAGGAAAAAAAAAAAAAAAAAACCAAACATACAACAGAATCTCTGTTGATTAAGAGGTATTTTATTCCAAAATTCTAAATATCAGAATCAAATCAATAATTACATTTTTCAGTTTACCCAATCATAGTATTTTGAAATTGTATATATACATAGAAAAATACAACCTAATAAAAACAATCAAATTTGCATTAGGATGAAAAGAGTGAGTTAAAAAGCAAACCATAGCTTTAATAGCTATATATTCCATATCAGTACAAAATTACTGTGCCACAATACCCACTTCTTTGCACAATTTATAATTTAATACAAAATAAGGTGACTTCAAATGTATATTGCTCTCCTTAAATGTACCGAAGACCTTTGAAACAAGTTCATAGTAACTGAAAATATTCCCATTTGTGCTGCAAGTATTTACTGCATGACAAAGAAACATAAAATGCAGCACTCTCGTTAGTATGTTAATTTTCTGCTTGTGCAAATAATGCTCTACTGATTTAATGCACGAGCAAACACCAAAAAAAAGGCAAAAAAAATTCATTACGAAGAAATAAAATGTTACATTTTCAGCATATTTCTATCATAGCAAATACAGGTTTCCTTCATGGACTAGGAAAGCAAAACCTGTACAAGGATTTTTTAAGATGCAAATGCTACATGAAATCTTCCATTACTTTGCAAAAGCCAAGGGTCAAGTTATTCACCTTTAATGCAGCATATCTGGAGAAAGTCATTGCATGAAAGGTTAGATTTCCTGTGTTATGTTAAAATTCTACACATTGGGAAAAAATAGACCTAAATACCACAATCACATGAAACAGCAGTAGTACTACAGACTCAACCCCATTATTCTATA